ATTTTTTCGGCAAGATTTAATCAAATGAATAAATTGCTGTAGAGTTGACATTATTTTTTCATTGGACATTAACTAAAATTTACAAAAAACTAATTAGATGGAAATCAAATAATGTCCCAGAAATGCAGCGATGGAGTGAAACAATAGACATGTATCGTTCAAGTTTTTTTTTTCTTTACTCCTTTGAGCTACGCAGTCGTTTCTTTGAGTGATTTGCGTATATTGATAAATCATATTTGACAAACGGATGCAAAGCTTCTTTTTTTTTTGCGAGATTTGAACATCATTGTGGTTGTTTATTTAATGTACTGTATATTATAGTATTACTAGAAATAACAGTGAAAAATTCAGTTTTTCTATATGAATTTTCTGATGAATCTTAATTTTTCAGTTAATGATTGAACCAGCTCATGGCGAGTTCTGTGACAATAAAATATCCGTAAAAATTTCCCTATGTCATCATTAAGTGTCAGAGCTTAACAAATTTAATAAAATAGTGTAAAAAACAATCATATATATGAAAAGCGGTCGTTATTTTCAGGAGTAAGGGGGTACAAATGAAAAAATTTGAAATTAGCAACTTTTTCCATTTCACTGAAACTGTCGTTAAAAATTTCTATCGTCCCTTCCTTCCTTCCTTCCTTTACTTGCTGAAACCAAGTGGCGTCTCTGATATATCTTTTTCGTATTTCCACGCGACCAAAACGGAATAGTCCATTATTTATAAGATATTAGCAGGAGACATTAAACGCCTCTATTTTCTTGCCTTTCTTTTTTCTTCCTTTTTCTCATTGAAACCAAATAGCGTCTCCAATATTTCTTTTTCGTATTTCCACGCGACCAAAAACGGAATAGTCCATTATTTATGAGCTATTGACAGGAGACATCAAATGCCTCTATTTTCACGCCTTTCTTTTTTCTTCCTTTTTCTCACTGAAACCAAGTAGCGTCTCTAATATGTCTTTTTTGTATTTCCACGCAACCAAAACGGAATAGTCCATTATTTATGAGATATTCGCAGGAAACATTAAATACTTCTATCTTCCTTCCTTTTTTCTTTCTTTCTTTATTTCTTTCTTTTGTTGTCTTTCATTTTCTTACTGAAACCAAGTAGCGTCATTGATATGCTTTCGACCGTCTTCCCACGCAGTCATTATTTAAGAGGTAGTGGCAGGGTGTAGCGGCCATGATAACTAGGAAGTGTCAAGTAAATTTAATATAAGATATTTTATAATGCCTGGCCAAAAATTTATCCTACGGACAGATATCGTAATGGATGTCCTCTTCCCTCTCTAAAATTTCTGTATAAGAAAACTTTTTCAGCTGTTCATTTGCTTTCTAAAGTTACGTATGTCATGACATTATGTCTACGTGAATGTCGTACCCTTGACAACCCCAGCGCCAGACATTTTAATACTTTTTCTAATTTTTGTAATGATGATAACTAAAAATGTCCGTGACGCGAATTTTCTGATGAAATCAAAATTATTGAACAGGATCCTTGCAAGTTCTACGACTATAAAATGGCTACAGTTATTCTCCCGTCGCGTCGTTACATATATTGGGCTTAAGAACTTTCGCAAAATATTGCAATAACATTATAGGTCATTAATTAAAGAAGAGGGTACAAATGAAAATATTTGAAACTGACAAGACTTTTCCATTTCAAGCGTTAAAATCATCATCACCTCTATCTTCTCTTTCTTTCTTTCTTTCTCTCTTTCTTTCTTTCCGTCCTTCTTTCTTTCTTTTTTCTTTCTCTCACTTAAACCGAACAGCCTCTCTGATGAGCCTTTTCTCTCTTCACGATCAAAACGGAATAGTTCCTTATTTATTACGTATTGTCAGGGCGTAACGGACGCACTAAGAAACGAATGAGCAAGCATGATTATAATATTACACACGTACACACATACATACATACACACACGCACACATTTTCTTCTGTAGTTTATTGTTTCCTATCGCATACGCTCGTAGTATGCTTCGCAAAAAGAAATCTCCGCCAACAGTGGACCAGATTGCAATCACATGGGAGAGCCAGCCATCCCTCACTTGTCTGTGTAAATATCCGAACTGGAAACTGCTGGAAATAAAGTTATAGATGCAGTTTTTATAATGAAATCAATAACTTTGTTAAAACATGTTGAAACTAATTAAAATTTTAAGATTTGTTTTAATGTCTAAATTAATCCTTTAAAATTTGACAAAAAGCTTCCAAAGTAAGTTCGAGGTATTAAGGTTTATGTGATTTTCTGGATAACTATATATTAACGAGGTATTAACTGACTGATTGATTTTAAACAGGTACTAATTAATTGATTGATTTTTAACAACTTCACCTTTTGTGAGTTATTTAAAGGCTGACTTTATATTTTTAGGGGTCTTTTGCCTCGGCAGCATCAAAGAAAAGAAAGACCCGCTTCCAATACTGAAAATAGGCAAAGACTTAGGGACTCTCAAACTCCTTAACAAGCCAAGGACTCAATGAAGAGCCCTCCGCATGGGGCTAGCTTAAATGCCGCCCTCCCGGTTGATGATATTTTCTTCGCCCTACGATTCCGTTCTGTTATATTCTTAAATTCTTCTCTAGGAATTACTTTTACCTTACTCATTATCCACCCACAATTTCTTTCTTTCTTTCTTTCTTTCTTTCTTTCTTTCTTTCTTTCTTTCTTTCTTTCTTTCCCTTCCAATATTCATTCTTTCTTTCTTTTCCGTGTTTTACTGTTGAGTTTATTTCTTTAATTCATCCTTTTCTCTTTCTATTTTTGATCAGTTATTTGTTTGTTTGTTTGTTTCTTTCTTTCTTTCTTTCTTTCTTTCTTTCTTTTGTCTTTCTTTCTTTCTTTGTCTTTCTTTCTTTCTTTCTTTCTTTCTTTCCCTTCCCTTCCCTAATTCATTTCCTCTTTCTTTTCCGTATTTTACTGTTGAATTTCTTTCTTTAATTCACCCTTTTCTCTTTCTATGTTGGATCAGTTATTGATTGATTGATTGATTGATTGATTTCTTTATCTTCCTTTCTTTCTTTCTTTCTTTCTTTCTTTCTTTCTTTCTTTCTTTCTTTCTTTCTTTCCCTTCCCTAATTCATTTCCTCTTTCTTCTCCGTATTTTACTGTTGAATTTCTTTCTTTAATTCATCCTTTTCTCTTTCTATGTTGGATCAGTTATTTGTTTGTTTGTTTCTTTTTTTTTTTTCTTTTTTTCTTTCTTTCTTTCTTTCTTTCTTTCTTTCTTTCTTTCTTTCCCTTCCCTAATTCATTTCCTCTTTCTTTTCCGTATTTTACTGTTGAATTTCTTTCTTTAATTCATCCTTTTCTCTTTCTATTTTTGATCAGTTATTTCTTTCTTTTTTCTTTCTTTCTTTTCTTCATTATTTGCGACTCTTTTTGTCTTTTGTTTTTGTTCAAGTTCATGCATTATTTTTTTATGTAGTTTGTTTTCTCTCTTTTTTGTTTCACTTTCTTTTCATTTACTTCCGCGTTTCTTTCTTTCTTTAAATTATTTTGCTTCTTTTCTCGTTCTCTTTTCAGGTTCCATCTTTATTCATTATATCAGTTACGTTTTGTCTACCTTTCTTTCTGTTTCCTCACTTCTACCCTTCTTTCTTTTCTTTCTTTCTTTTTTCTTTCTTTTCGTTATTTTCTTTCTTCTTTTTCTTTTCTTACTCACTTTTATTTTTCTATTTCGTTCCTCTCTCTTTTCATTTCCGTCCTTCTTTCCTTCCTTCCTTCCTTTCTCTAAGCTTCTTTCTTTCTATTAAGGGAATTTCCCATAATTCTCCTGCTAAATCCTTGTAATTATTTATTTATCCTTGTATTTTTACTCACATTAAATATCTTCTTGCGACTGACACATTCGATATATTTCCCCTTCTTTGTCATTATTGATTATATCAGCATTTTTCCCCCTGAATTCCGTGATCTGGTTAGGCATCAAAACCCCAAATCCTTCTGTTTTTTTAGTTTTTTTTTCTTCTTCTTTTTTTTAAAACAAAAATGGCTTCTTTTTCGCGCCCGGCTTTTTGCTTTGTTTTGTTTTTATTTTTATTTTTCAAATTTATGAAGAGTAACGAAGCGACCTAATTTATAGAATAATTTTCAAAAAGTAACGCACGGAAGGAATTTCGAAAGTAGATTAGAATATCTTTATTTATTTATTTATAGGCATTTTTTTTATTTATTTATTTATTTATCGGCATGTTAAGTTTGTAGTGGAACAAAGTGGGGTTTAGATAGTCGTTGGTTTGTGAGATATAAATCCTTGTCATCATCTTAAAGAAGAAGAACAAAGGAAACCGTTTCATTCAGTAATCTGCACGCATTAATCTAGACTTGTTCTTCAGCCCCCCCCAGAAGGGGATCTGCGAACAAGGCACTTCGGATAAGAGAATCCAGGATAAATAACGTTGGAACTTGAGATGGAGGGATGAGGGGAAAGTGGCGCCAACGGAAAAGTGTGTAGGAAAGACGCAGTTTGGAGAAGCTTTTGGCTGACAAGAGGAAGGGTCGTTAATAGGAATCGAAGAAGTTGATGAAAATGGAGACGAAGAAGAGCAAAATGAAGAAGAAAAAAAAAGGAGGTTATGTAGAATTAAAAAAGAAATGAGAGTAAAGAAAGATGAAGAAGTTCAGATTAAGAGACGATGGAGATTGGGTCTAAAAGATGAAAGAAATTAAGAAAAAGTAATTCGAAATGAAAGACGAATGAGTACGACAATAGAAAATGTAGGAAATGAAGAAAAGAAAGAGGAAGGACTGAATAAAAAGACGAATAAGTTTGAGATTGAAAGATGAAGAGTGAAGAAAAAGTAGAAACTGAAAATAAAATACGAAGCAAATTGAAAATTAAAAAAAAATGAAAGAAACTAAGAAGTACGAAGAAAAATCTTAGATTAAAAGAGAAAGAAGTTTTAAAATAGGAAACCAGGAAAATGAAGAGAGAATGACGAAGGACTGAATAAAAGGCGAAGAAGTTTTGAAATAAAAGATGAAAGAAAATTAAATGAAAATAGACGAAGAAGAAATTGCGAATAATAAAATCGAGAAGATTAGTAATAGAAAAAAGATGACGGAAGAAAGAAAGAAAGAAAAGAAAAGATAAAAGTCATGGAAACTGGAGAATAAAAAATGGCGGAATTTGGGAATAAAAATGAAAGGAAAAGTTGAAGAAGAAATTGAGAATAAAATATGTAAGTGTTTGGTCACAGGAAATAAAAGATAGGAAGTAAGAAAAACCATGAAAGTAAAAGAAAAATGAAGAATAAAAGACACATGGCCCAGTGGATAATAACATTGGTTTGGTCCAGTGACTGGACCCAAAGAGTTGTGAATACAATACCAGGCCACAGCAGTGGTGAACCAAAATTTGAAGAGTTGAGTTAAAGGAAAATAACTGCGACATCCGGAAGAGCCATGGCACGTGGAACTAGCGAAATCTACCCCGGTGAACGATATAAAGGGTTCGGTTCAAAATTCCCGTCACCTGAAGAAGACAAGAGCGTACAACCGCCAAAACGTTGTGAATATATCAATGAAGACGAAGATAAGTCCTAATAATGTAAATAATGCAAGTAATCATAATACCTCATCTCAGAGACATAGACAGATATTGAAGGCATGGTACGTGGAACTAGAACAATCTACCCCGGTGGAAGAAGTAAATGGTTCGGTTCGGAATTCTAATCACCTGAAGAAGGCCGGAGCTTACAACGACCGAAATGTTGTGAATATGGCAATGAAGATGTCACAATACAGTCCGAATAATGTAAATAACACAAGTAAACGTAATACCTTATCTCAAAGATATAGACCTATAGTGAAGGCGTGGCATGTGGAACTAGAACAATCTACTTCGGTATATGCAAGTGATTGGCCATAGGAAACAAAAAAAAAAGGAATAAAGACCATGAAAGAAAAGGAAAAATGAAGAAGAAAAGAGGAAGAAATTCAGAAATAAAAATGAGAAGAAGAAAAAAAGATGAAGTAATTAAGAATAAAAAATTTGAGAATGTTAGTAATATTAATAAAATAAAGAAACAAAAGAAAGGCAATAAAAGAAGATGGAGACTGAAAATTTTAATAAACGAAAAAAAAAAGGAAGGAAAATACGAAGAAAGTAAGAATATAAAAACGGCGGAGAGTGGTAATAGGAATGAAATTAAAGAAAGGACGAAGGAAAGACGATGAAAAAAAACGAAAAATAATGAATAAAAGACGAAAAAACTTTCTAATAAGAAATGAAAAACTGTGGCTAAATAACAAAAGAAATTGGAACTAAAAAAAACGAAGGAAATAGAGATGAGAAATGGAAAGCAAATAAATGATTCAAATGGAAGCTGATACAGAATAAATGGAAGAAGTGAATATAAAAAATTGACACCACAAAATAGAGCAAAGACAAGAAATATTACTCGACGCGCTTTCTAAGCAAATCAAAGCCAAAGACTTAAGCGAAAGGATTTGAAATCAGTTAAAAGCAAAGCCTCAATTAGATGTCCCTGTCAGCATCACCAAAAATCCTTTCCCCCAAACCTCTGATTGGCTTTCAGTGCCGCTTATACGGTCAGTTCCTAAAGCAGATCTGCCGTGGACATGACAATAGGCGTCCACGATATGGAACGCTTTCAATGAGACGATGTGTCCGAAACTTGACTGGCGTTGGTCAGAAATTCCTGTTTTACACGTCTTTTTGCTGTGACTCAAACTCATTCGAAAGAAAAGGTGAAGAGCAGTACGTAAGGAAAGAAAAGGTCATTTTAAGAGGAAGGGGGTCACGTCAGAACTTCGCATGCGCAGAATTTACGGGATTAATTTGAGCAAGCCTTTTTTTTTTCTTTCTTTTTTTGCACATTGTCGGGACTATCAATTTAACAATCTGTTTCTCTTTAGTCAAGGTTTTATTTGAATCGCTGTTTTTTCTTCACTTTCTCTTTTCCAGCGTTGAAATCATCCACTCTCATCCATTTGATTGTTTTTTCTTCATTTGTATTGATCTTATTTTTAGCTTCTTTCTTCTGCAATTTTATATTCTTCTCTTCTTTCCTTTGTCTTCTTCTAAGTCTCTTCTTTCACTTTCCTCTTCATTTTTTTATCACTTTCCCTCATTTACTTCTTATAAATGTTTTTTTCTCATTCTTCTCCCCAAAATCTTCTTTATTTTCGCATTTCCTTAGATTTTCTTTCACTTCTTCTTCTTCTTCTTCTTCTTCTTCTTCATGGATAATTAAAGTCTTCGTCTTATTATTATCATATATATATATATATATATATATATATATATATATATATATATATATATATATATCTTACAGAATCTGAAATATTTAGAATTCGTCTTTTGCTCTGAATATTTCTGCATACATCTTGTCTGCTGCTTCTGCTATACATTTAAAGATTCTGAATAAAATACATAGAATCTGCAATGTTATTGGTCCTAACTTGGCATTTCGGCTTCAGTCACTTTCCCACCACCGTCATGTAGTTTTCTGTGCATTCCTATAAATAATTTTTCCGATTAACTTTACTCTATAATATAGTCTTGTATATAAAATTGTAATCATCGTAAATATTCACGGAGTTTCATTTTTAAAAGATGTTATTTTATCTCCCCCTTCCCAACACAGACAAATTGTACATATTGGAACTAGTTAGGACTTTATATAGATGTTGAGGCATTATGATGGCTGTATGGTAAGTAAGAATGTGTTGTTTTGGTGTAAGAAATACTGTGGTATGTTTAGGTCAGTAATCTTTGCTAGATAGGTTTAAGACAAGACTGAAGACAAGCATTCCCCTATCGCCATTTTTGATCTAGTGCCACATTTTAGTATTTTTCAAAATAAATATTACTTTCCTCTATGGGACCTTGACTTTATGAATTTAGGTGGAGTACTAGATTGGCGACAAGGTCTCATCATTTTACCGTTGAAATTTCAAGATGTAACCGTAAGTTCTATGCAAACAGTTTCTTCCCTCGCATTTCTCGCTTGTGAAACTTTCTCCAGGCTTCTTACTTTCCAGTCAAGTTTGCATTTAAATTTTAAATATCAATGTCAATCGTTATCTTCTGTCTTCTTCTTCTTCTTCTTCTTCTTCTTCTTCTTCTTCTTCAGTATTTTTTCTTTTTTTCCTTTTTCTTCAGTATTTTTCTCTTTTACTTTCTTTGTCATCAACACCCGAAAAGCATCTATCAAATTATTATTATTATTATTATTATTATTATTATTATTATTATTATATCCTTTGATTTCTGTTGTATACACATTTCCTTCCGGGTCCCGCCCAGAGACCTAAGGCCTGAAATGGCATCATGACATTTCCACTGAGCAGTAAAAAAAAGACACATACACACATATTTTCCATAGATAAAGCCTTTCGTAAGGTGCGGGCTATAGTCGTGAGAACTATTTTTGTATTTTTTTAAGCCATGGACTATTAGAAATCCCTTCAATAAATCTACTGGAATCTTTTCCACTCAATCCGAGGGCTCCAACTACAACAGGAGTTGTTGATGTTCTCATGTGCCACAATTTTGAGATTTCTATTTCAAGGTCCTTGTATTTTGATAGCTTTTTGAAGATCTTCAAAGATACATTACAGGGCCTGTCATATCAATAAGATGCACTTTTTTTGTTTGTGGTCTCTAATAACAATATCTGGGCGGTTGGCTTTGATTGTTCTGTCAGTGTGTATTGTGTAGTCCCATAGAATTGTAACAGGTCCTATCTCCGTAACCGGGTCTGGGTATTATTATTATGAAATATTTAATCATATGTTAATTGTAATTTAATATGTACCATATTTCATTGTGGCATACGTTGAAGCACAGATTCTCGAACGATCAGCAAAGTTAAGCAACGTCGAGCTTGATCAGTAACTAGACGGGTGACCACTGAATAATACCATGTGCTGTGAGCTTGGACGCGATGAGGGCGTAATTGACAACACACCTCGGAATTTTGACGAATTTCAATTCCATTGGTTTCGATATAGACACTTACAGGCAAGGACTCTTAGAAAAGGTATGAATCAACCTCTTCTCCATTAGTTATGAATTAATTAGTAGGACTTCTATCAGTGAATCATAAATATTGCAAAAAATTCTTACAATTTAAAAATATATGTCTGACTTTAAATAACACAAAAAAGGTGAAGCTGTTAAAAATCAATCAATCAGTTTATACCTCGTAAATATACAGTATATCTGAAGTTATCCTGAAAATCACATAAACCTTAATAACTTGCTTTGAAAATTTTTCGTCAAATTTTAAACGATTACTGTAAACATCAAAACAAGTTTTAAATTTTTAAGTACTTTCAACATAGATATTGATTTTATTATAAAAACTGTATCTATAACTTTAGTTCCACCAGTTTATAGCTTGGACATTTCCACAGACCATGCAACTTGTTCCCAACAGATTCAACATCGCAAGCCCATCGCTACTTTATCGCTATTTCCATGGCAAATGTTCAGATACACCCCATTCTTTAGTTCCACCAGTTCAGACCTTTACATCTCAGACATTTACACAGTCCTGTGAGGGAAGGCTTATTCTCCACTCTGCAGCTTCTTTCCCACAGATTCAACATTGCAAGCCCATCACTACTCTATCGCTATTTCCATGGCAAATGTTCAGATGAGCTCCATTCTTTAGTTCCACCAGTTCAGACCTTTATAGCTCGGACATTTACACAGTCCTGTGAGGGAAGGCTTATTCTCCACTCTGCAGCTTCTTTCCCACAGATTCAACATTGCAAGCCCATCACTACTCTATCGCTATTTCCATGGCAAATGTTCAGATGAGCTCCATTCTTTAGTTCCACCAGTTCAGACCTTTATAGCTCGGACATTTACACAGTCCTGTGAGGGAAGGCTTATTCTCCACTCTGCAGCTTCTTTCCCACAGATTCAACATTGCAAGCCCATCACTACTCTATCGCTATTTCCATGGCAAATGTTCAGATGAGCTCCATTCTTTAGTTCCACCAGTTCAGACCTTTATAGCTCGGACATTTACACAGTCCTGTGAGGGAGGGATTCAACATTGCTTATTCTCCTCTATCTTTATTTCCATGGCAGATAAGCTCCATTCTTTTTCCCACAGATTCAGTCCATTGCAAGCATTCTCCATCACTTTACAGATTCTATTGCAAGCCCATCACTACTCTATCGCTATTTCCATGGCAAATGTTCAGATGAGCTCCATTCTTTAGTTCCACCAGTTCAGACCTTTACAGCTCGGACATTTACACAGTCCTGTGAGGGAAGGCTTATTCTCCACTCTGCAGCTTCTTTCCCACAGATTCAACATTGCAAGCCCATCACTACTCTATCGCTATTTCCATGGCAAATGTTCAGATGAGCTCCATTCTTTAGTTCCACCAGTTCAGACCTTTACAGCTCGGACATTTACACAGTCCTGTGAGGGAAGGCTTATTCTCCACTCTGCAGCTTCTTTCCCACAGATTAAACATTGCAAGCCCATCACTACTCTATCGCTATTTCCATGGCAAATGTTCAGATGAGCTCCATTCTTTAGTTCCACCAGTTCAGACCTTTATAGCTCGGACATTTACACAGTCCTGTGAGGACGGAAGGCTTATTCTCCACTCTGCAGCTTCTTTCCCATGTTCAGATTCAACATTGCAAGCCCATCACTATTCTCCACTCTGCAGCTTAGCTCTTTCCCACGCTATTTCCATGGCAAATGTTCAGATGAGCTCCATTCTTTAGTTCCACCAGTTCAGACCTTTACAGCTCGGACATTTACACAGTCCTGTGAGGGAAGGCTCCACTCTATTCTCCCACAGATTCTGCAGCTTCTTTCCCACATGGCAAATGTTCAGATTCAACATTTAGTAGCCCATCACTACTCTATCGCTATTTCCATGGCAAATGTTCAGATGAGATGAGCTCCATTCTTTAGTTCCACCAGTTCAGACCTTTATAGCTCGGACATTTACACAGTCCTGTGGGGAAGGCTTATTCTCCACTCTGCAGCTTCTTTCCCACAGATTCAACATTGCAAGCCCATCACTACTCTATCGCTATTTCCATGGCAAATGTTCAGATGAGCTCCATTCTTTTAGTTCCACCAGTTCAGACCTTTACAGATTAGCTCCATGGACATTTACACAGTCCTTTAGTTGAGGGAAGGCTTATTCTCCTGTGAGGGGAAGGCTTGTTCTCCTCTCACTCTGCAGCTTCTTTCCCACAGATTCAACATTGCAAGCCCATCACTACTCTATCGCTATTTCCATGGCAAATGTTCAGATGAGCTCCATTCTTTAGTTCCACCAGTTCAGACCTTTACAGCTCGGACATTTACACAGTCCTGTGTGCTTCTTTTCCCACAGATTCAACATTGCAAGCCCATCACTACTCTATCCTTTATTTCCATGGCAAATGTTCAGATGAGCTCCATTCTTTAGTTCAGTTCAGACCTTTATAGCTCGGACATTTACACAGTCTTATTTCCCACTTCTTTCCCAGATTCAACATTGCAAGCCCATCACTACTCTATCGCTATTTCCATGGCAAATGTTCAGATGAGCTCCATTCTTTAGTTCCACCAGTTCAGACCTTTACAGCTCAGTGGACATTTACACAGTCCTGTGAGGGAAGGACTCTGCAGCTTCTTTCCCAGATTCAACATTGCAAGCCCATCACTACTCTATCCTATTTCCATGGCAAATGTTCAGATGAGCTCCATTCTTTAGTTCCACCAGTTCAGACCTTTACAGCTCGGACAT